GAGGTTGCTCTTCTAAGCAGCCATGGCTGGTGATAATTCGATGGCAGCCAATGGCAGCCGTCCCGCGAGGCCGGGGGCGGCAAGCGCGCAGCCATTTGTGCGTGTGGCGGGGGCGGCGGACGGCTGCCATCGAATTATCAGCAGCCATGCTCCGGAGGATGGCTGCACTGACTGTGCCCCAGCCATAGTAGATGGCTGAAATGGCTGTGGCCCAGCCATCTTACCCAAGATGGCTGCGATATAGCCAGCTCAGCCATGAGGGCCCGCCCCGGGGCGTGCGGTATGGCTGCAGCAGCGAGCTTCCAGCCTTCCGTACTCAGGATGGCTGCCCTGTGTGTATTGCAGCCATCGGCCTGGAGGCTATGGCTGCACTGCAGCTAGCTCAGCCATCCTTAGGTAAGATGAAAAAAAACTGTTCCTGTTACGAAAAAGGGAGCTACTGCTCCGGCGACACTAGGGACTCGGGCCTGATCCCGCACAAAACATCTCCACACTCTCTCCTCTCCTATGACACGACTCTCCGACCTTGGGCTAGATTCCCATTTGATTCACCACAAGCGCCAAACTGCTTCGCCGCGCGCTGCTGACAGCGTCAAGTGCGGCCCTTAGCTGAGTATAGCTCGAAGTGGGCGTCGAGGGGGCCTATAGTAGAGTGTGAGCCCGCGCGCTGCAAAGCTCGAGTGTGGGCGATGGCGCGAGCTGGGCCATGTACTAATTGCGTGTGACTGTTTCTGCCGTCTAACCTGGTTTGTGGACCTCCCGCACCTGTCCTGACAGTCCTGACAGAGTCCTGACAGAGTCCTGACAGAGTCCTGACAGAGTCCTGGCGGGGTCCTGACGGCGCACGGTCTTCACAGTGCTCACAAGTGCCTCCGACGAGACCTCCACCTTCCTTCACTGCAACCCTCCTTCCCCTCCCCCCCAGCAGTGAATGATAGACGCCCAGCCCCCCTTTCGACCGTGCGCGCCCTCTGCGGAATCGTCCTGATGGGGCAGTCCTGACGCAAACTTGAGAGTCCTGACAAGCAAACTTGAGAGTCCTGACAGAAACTTGAGAGTCCTGACAGAAACTTAGAGTCCTGACAGACAAAAGAAATCACGCTCACTCTCGCGCCACTCGGCTCGACCATGAAAAGCGCACAAGCAAGAGAGGCGCGGCCATGGTGCAGGCAACGTTACAGCCGGCAACGTGCAAGAAGGCAGCAAAGCTCGGCCACGACGTCCATGGCCCGCGCCCCCCCGATTTGCCACCGGCGGCCTGCAGGCCAGCGCCGAGCAGCGGACCGACTGCTGACCGACTGCTGACCGACTGCTGACCGAGGCAGCGCCCACGGCAGCGCCCACAGCAGCGCCCACGGCAGCACCCACGGCAGCACCCACGACAGCGCCCACGGCAGCGCATACGGCTTGGCTGGCCATGTCAGCCGCGCAGGGACCCTCCCGCGGGTCCAACCCGAAGCGCTCGACCGCTCGACGGCGCAAGTCGGCTGACGGAGCGAGCCGCATAGCCCTCCAGTGCTCACCGCAGGATCAGGCCCGACCGGCCCACGCTCACGGCCTGGCCTGCCTGTGGACCAGCAAACTCGTTGGCTGTACGCGAGCAAAGAGCTGCGTGGCTGGGTTGTGAGCATACCGTCCCCGTTGCGCTCTTTCCCTCAGTGGAGGGCCGTCCCTGCCCTCGGGAGTAACTCGACTGTACACCCCTCCCTACTCTCTAGCTAAGGGCTCTGTTCACAGCGGGGGGGCAGTGGTTGTCCTGGCGGAGTCCTGGCGGAGTCCTGACAGAGTCCTGACAGAGTCCTGACAGAGTCCTGACGACGCGCATGCGCTGGTTTGCAGTGACCTCGCCTGCGTCGTCCGACGCGGTGCGGTCCAGGTGGGGCGATCGTCCGACCCGACGGCGGGCCGGACGGACGGGTACGTCGCCATGTGGTAACGACGCTAAAAAAGATTTTTTTCTTAGGTAAGATGGCTGTGTAGGAGACAGCACAGCCATAGTGCGCTTACATTCCGAGGTTAGCCGTCAGTGGGCGTGTCAGGAGGCGGCCGGCCGGGAGAAACTCGGCAGTAAAACTCCCGCGCCGGCCCAGGAGGTGGGAGTGTCACGGAGGCGGCCATTGGCGCCATACATGGAAATCTCGGCGCTACATCGGAAGATCCTTGGACTGTAGATCGTAGATGCCTTTTAGAGATCTCTTAAGTGGCAAATCTCCTGCCAAGAGCAGCAGTAGATTGAAGACAGAGGTGGAGATTCTGACTTCGCGCCAAAGGCGCCTAGAGATCGTGTGGGCCGACTGGAGATTGCAACATGGCGCGAAAAGAGTGTGGAGATCCTTTTGCATGTGAATGAATCCATAGCGCATCTCCGTGAAGGTTTGAGCCCCCCTCCTCCCCCGGGCCCCCGAATCGAGATTGGAGATTGGAGATTGGAGATGGAGATCGGAGATCTGACTGAATCCGGCCTAAGATGACGACGTTGGAGATTGGAGATTGAAGATGGAGATCGGAGATCTGACTGGATCCGGCCTAAGATGTAGCGACGCTGGAGATTGGAGAGTACTGGAGAGATGGAGATCGGAGCCCCCCAGCCCCTAGTGGTGTCTCATCGATTTTCTTGTTTTGTTTTTAGACAAAGGTTCTGTGCGCGGACGGCCCGGGGAGCCTCCGGCGCCATTTTAATCTGCGCTCCTCTTTATGGCCTGCGGCGCCTGGCTTGAGCTTGGAAGTGTAAACGAGTCCGCCAGGGCGGTCTGCAAACACGGAGCGCGCTGCGCGCGCGGTCTACGCCGAACTGGGGGCGGTATCGTGGTTCACGCTGCCAACTCGGCAAATAAGTGTGCAATAGCGATATTGACAGTCTTGTTCCTACTACCATCTTCCTTCGAAGGCACTCCAGAGCGCTCTATACTCTACCTACAGGGCGTCGCGACATGGATGAGGCAGCGGATCGCTCCTCGATCCGGCTCTCCGCGGCGGTCTCCACGACCACGCTGTCTGGACGCTGTCTGGGCGCTGTCTGGACACTGTCTGGACAAGCTCAGGACTGTCTAGACAGGTGCGGGAGCTCCACAAACCAGGTTGCCAGGGCAGCACTGGCAAGTGCAACGCGCCTCATGTCGGAGAGCGACCGTGCCTCGTTCGCCGCTTATCATGTAGAGTTTGTTGTAGAGATTTCACGTTGTAGAGCGCCTCTACATCGCTCTACAACGCACGCAGTTCGTCCCGCGGCGGATGTAGAGCTCTACAGCTCTACAGCGCTCTCCAGCTCTACAGCTCTACAGCGCTCTACACTCTACATCCTCTACACCCTCCCTCAGACGCGGCCACGTCGGATGGTTTGTTGTAACTATGACCGAGGTGGTTCTCGTCGGCTCCATTCGCTCAAACTTCTATCTAGCTGACACGCGCACCCCGTCGAGCCTACGGCGGGCGCGCTGCGGCCGCATGCCTACCACTCCTACCCAAGTCATAGTGCCACGGCGTGCGGCCTAGATCAGCACACTAGGCCGCTTCCTACGTAGCCTGCGAATAGGGTTTGTGGAGCGTCCAGAGAAATCTTTGTTACGTAATATCTCGGGACCGCGGACGCCATTCTGAACCAGACTAGATTTGAGAGCGGCACAATTGAAAGATCTAGATCTACTACTAATTAAGCCAGGGGTGGGGAGCTGGGCTTCTCAAATGGTGAAGGGTTAAATAGCTGCATTTTGACCAGAAGCCTTCTGGACACCTTCTGGACACCTTCTGGACACCTTCTGGACCTTCTGGACATCTCTGGACGCTCCACAAACCCTATTTATGGGTGAGGAGGGCCATATTACAGACACCTCACACGATCCCGCACGTGGTCTTGTCCGAGCCTTGCGGCCGGCGTGCGACGGTGTATCATTCACTTTATGCCACCGTTGCATATCCGGATATGCAACGGTGGCATAAAGTGAATGATACAGTTCGAATCCCGCAGTTCGACTCGGCGCAAAAAACCCAGACGGGCGTTGTCACTGGTTCGAAACCCACCTTAGCGTTCACCTGCTATCCGCCGGTACCCAAACCGGATGCATCTCCGCACGACCCAGGAATGCAGTTTTGCGACGGTGTATCATTCACTTTATGCCACCGTTGCATATCCGGATATGCAACGGTGGCATAAAGTGATGATACACCGTCGCACGGCGAGATTGCTAGAGAGGCGGAGCAGTCTGCTCTAGCCTCACACGTGGCGTCCCCCGTCGCCTGTGTGTTGTTCCCGCTGTTGTTTGGGCTCGTGGCACCGTGGGTGCTGGGGGGGGGGGACAGGGGGGGGGCGTGGCCCTGAGAGCTGAGTGGCGTAGTGCCGTACGCTCCCTCGGGATGTGTGGCAGCCCAGGGCTGGCCTGGGGTATCTTGTTGAGTTTTGTTTGTCTGTGTCTCGCGCTCGCGCGTGTCGTCGTCTTCTGGGTCGGGCGCGTCCTCCGGTTTCCTCAACTCACCCTCTCCACGCCCTCAGCGCTCAGGCCGTGTGTAAGTGAGCCCGGCGTGAGCGTGATCTGTGGGAAGCTGACAGGTGCTGTGTGCAAGTCCTGTTTTATTAGCAGCTCTTAGAACCAGAAACCACGACTTCGCCGTAACCACGACGTCGCCCCGGAATGGCTCTACCGTAACGGCTCTCGACGGCTCTACGGCTCTACAGCTCTACGGCTCTACGGCTCTACGGCTCTACGGTCGAGCAATGTCGTACACCATGCAATAACCACCATGCAATAACCACCATGCAAACCTCTAGTGTGGCATGCGCATGTGCTTAGGTGGACGGCCAGAGAGTGAACCTGCCATGTCTCGAACGTACATCAGGGCAATGTATCAGTGCCAACGCTCTCTCTCCTAGGATGTCACCGCTCAAGCGATGAAGCGGCGGGCGTGCCGCTGAATGACTTGTGCTGCGTGCTTCAGCTGCTCCTCCATCGCCGGAGGCCCAAGTTCAAACGGATTCGAGGGGGCTGCAACACCAAAGGTGGAGCGCGCCTGGTCGGAGAAGATGCGGCGCACCACCTGGTTGAACGACTCGTACTTGCCGAACCCAGCCTCCTGCCACGCCACGGGGGGACGGGGGAGTCGGAGTAGCACGGCGCGCGTGGGCGAGGCTCAGGGTGGTGCGCTGCGGGCACGCACGATGCAGCCGAGCAGCTTCTGCGTGTCCCGCTCCTGCGAGCAGCGCGCCCGCTCCACTCGGAACCGCCCGAGCTCGCGCTGCAGCGCTGTCGTCGCGTCCGCCGCCGCCTCGTCCGCCTCGTTGCTGGCCTCGACGACGGGCAGCACAGTCACACGGTCGATGTCGCCTCCATTCTTGAGGAAGCAGAAGAGCTCGACCACACACCACAACCTAGTTGACGAAGGAGAGAGTACGTGAAGCGGAGCACAACTCTTTCTCACGGCCTCCTCCTCGCGCGCCTGCTCGCGTAGGTCGGCCCCGCCAGGATGAGGAAGCGCTGGCAGCCGCTGACGAGGAGCGGCAGCAGCTCGAGCGCGCCCGCGTCCTCGGGGGCGACGCACGCGGCGTCCAGCCAGAGCAGCGGCGCCGTGCCGCGCTCCGCCGTGTCGCGCTCCGCCCACCGGTGAAGCGCCGCAAACTTGCTCTCGCGGCTGTCGTGCCAGGAGTGGCTCACAAAGACAGAATGCTCAGCTCCCAAACTGGCGGCCACCGCCCGCTCTCGCAACGCGTCGCCCGCGCCGCCCGCCACGCCCCCGCCCGGCAGCTCGGCCGCACCCGTCAGCTTGTCAACGGGCAGCAGGCGGAAGGCCGCCTGCGCGCGCGCCAGCGCCTTCTCGCCGCCGCCGGAGAGAGCCGCCAGCGCCGCCAGCTGCGCGTCGTCGCCTCCGCCGGAGGCGCCGAGGCGGGCGAGGCGGGCTTGCAAGTAGCGGCGGGCGGAGGGGCGGAGAGCGAGGGCGGGGAGGAGGAGGGCGGCGCCAGCTAGATAGAACGGCCACCAGTACAAATCGACCGCACCAATGCTCACGAGGAGCACTCCTAGCACTCCTAGCACTCCAACCCACAGCCGGAAAACCAGCCAAATGCGGCTCAGGCAGGCGGGGGCGGTCATCGCCAGGGGGCCGACGCGGGTGGAGCGGCAGGGCAGCAGGCCGGCGAGAAGGGCGTCGCGCCAGGCAGGGAGCAAGGCAGCGACGGCTAGGGAGCAGGACATAGCTAGGAGGCTGAATACCGCCGATTCCCCCCAGAGGTTAGCCGTAGTCAGCGGGTCAAACCACCGCCCCGCCTCCCACCAGAAGGACCATCCGACAAGCAGCGGCCCAAGCGTCAGGTAGACGGAGAGCCCGCGGACCAGGTTCTCGTCCGTGGGCAGCACGGCGAGGAGCATCGCGAAGAGGCCCCAGACGGCAGCCGGCGTCATGATGCTGAAGATGATATCGCCAATCACGCTGTTTAGGAGAATCCCGACGACGACGGCGACGGCGAATGACGCCAAAAAGGCGACCAGCCCCCCGCCAAAGGCGACGAGGCGGATGCGCCTCTTGCGCCTGTCTGCGGCGGCGCGCTGCTCCCGCATCCGCTGCCGAGCGCGCTCCGCGAACACGACCGCCGTGTAATAGCTGACGTACATATCCACCACCTGCGGCGGCGGCGGCGGTGGCGGTGAGGCGGGCAGGCTCACCGTGGTTCAATGGGGCATCGCCGCACGCGAGACCTTCTCATGGTCGCCCTTGCCGGTGAAGGCGATGGCTAGCTCCTCGCTCCCTTCCACCGTCTCCTCGAACTGAGCCTTGAACGCGTCGGGCGCGGGCGCGCTCGTAAGGGTCACAGGCTGCTGGTCCAGCACGTCGATCATCTTG